TCCTCTCTCATCTACAGAAAAACATTGAAAAGTCATGCTGAATATGCTTGAAATATTTGCGACTGGATGTTAGTAAAACAATAATGTATCAATCGTATTATTATCCTATACTTTCATCTATTATTTTGCTGAAGTCAGCTGATTTTGTATTCTTTAACCTGCAAAAGTATATCGTGATGTTTACACTTTACCGTGATTGATTTCATGTTTATCACTTGTACCTAGCTGTATGTAAATGTTTATTGAAGTTTCACTCTATTGAAAACTTATCAAGCAAAGGAAAACGTGAATGGATTGTGTTATTGGCATAAATAATGTATAGAAGTAAAATAAGGTGAAATTGAATTAGTTTTAAATAGTGTTATTTTTGAGAAGAAAGAGCATTGAGGTTAATCCTATCTCACTTGTGTTAGATTGGTATATTGGAATGATTTTAAAGCAAAAAAGAGTCTTCTTTTCATATATTTATATGCTTATCCAATATGTGTATTTTTAGATGTGTGACTGATATCTAGGTCAGTAAGACTTCAAGTTCAGTGAAAGATATATTCTTTATAGCTCTGTCTATTTTCAGTCTTCTCCAATGTTATCTTTTTTAATCAGAATATGGAGATGTGATATGATTGCTAATAAGACAACTATCCACCAAAAGCCAAATGACCTGGATGTAAGCAACTATAGGTCATCATAGGATCTTTAACAATGAGAAAAACACTTATGGTATAGTGAGCTAAAAAAGGTTCCCAAGATGACATGAAACAGTTCAAAAGAAAAAAAACAATGGCCTGATTTATGACAAAACAATTAAAGAAAAACAAATATGATAGTCAGACCAGCATCAAGAGTTGTCTTTCTTTGAGCAGGTTTTTTGTATAAATCTATATATTATTAAATGGTGTATTTTAGAATTATATTTTAGAAGAAACTTCTTCCTCCCAATTTTTGTTTTCTCTCAAAAATTTGAACATATCCCTCTGAAGGTCTTACTGACCATTCAGATGAAGAACAACAATAATAATAGTGGATATCCATTGTTTTTGGTTTGTCTTGTGTGTGTATAGTGATCGAGTGCTAATAATTGATACACCATATCCTTTCTTTTCTATACACTCAAAAATCTCCCTTCATCATATTTTATGGTTGTCATGTTTATAATTTGTGTTTAACTTACCTTACTAGTAAGGTAGGTCAAAAGACAATTCCAAATGACCTTGAACTTTATTGTATGCTCTGTTCCTATTTAATTGGTCTGTTCCAGGTAGATTTTGTACTGTTCACTGAAGATTTTTCATTCTAGCAGCATCCTGAATAAGATATATCTATAAACCAATTGATTTTAGTACATGACCTCAGTGCATGAACAGAAGTTTAACTTGACCTTGGGTGAACTTTTGACCTTTTCGAACTTTTTATGAATGGCTTTTGGACTTTTATATCACCTTATAATTCTACAATTTATGTTTCTTGTATACATATAAATTTACAACATACTTGACTGTCACATCTGTTGCCCAGAGTTAAAAAGAATTACCTCAAGCTGTTGTAACGATGCAGATATGTCAATTTTACCTAGCAGAAGGCTATCTTCCTTGAGAACAGTCCTGATCAATACTTTGACCTGGCAGAAGACTATCTTCCTTGAGAACAGTCCTGGTCAATGCTTATAGATTATATCCAACAAATATTTATTATTGATTAATTAAATATTTACTATTTGTCATCTTGATTGGAGAATTTGTTTTTAAACTGATAAAAATCTGCAGTTACAACAGATGCCTAGGAATATGTAGAAATTTGACCCTAGGGGGTCAGGGAGCGTGATTTTGTCCGGATTAGTGTCATTGATAAAACTGTCCTGTAGGGATACAGATTTGGATTATTTTTGCTTATGTTGTAACATAAATAATATATATTTGTTACTACAATTCAGATTTAGAAGTTCTGGAAAATATTGACATTATTTTTGCTGGCAGACTAAATATTTGCACATTTAAATATCCGTTTATTGGTTTGTGTGCTTAAACTGACTTTCGAAAAAGTTTTCATATACTTGTGGAGTATCTAACAGGGATTTTACGATTAAGAGGGATTAAATAGCAAAATAAACCTTTGTCTAATCTTGCTGTTCTTTAGCTTAAACAAGTCATTCGTTGAAGTGTTAATATTTCAAATGGAAGCTTTTTATTTAAATTGTAATTATGATTTTGTAATTCTTCATAATTAGTGAAAAAGAAATTGAAAAAAAATAGCATAGTTTTTCAAGTTCTTGACATTTAATTGGATTTAAGGATTACGCTTATAGTTTTTCTTATCCTTTTTCGAAATGAAAGATAATCACCATGAATTAGTCTGCTGAAGACAAGACGGGACATTTAACAAAAGAGAAATACTCTGATTGTTCTAATTTTTGCACTTGCAGTGTCAAAATTGTTATATGACAATTTAGATTTATGATAACAGTGGGGCTTTATTGACACAAGAAACTTTTTAAAAGACCAAAGTTAAAAGAATGTGGGACATGATAGTTTCGTGTACGTGGATTATTGTGTAGAATTATGCAGAACAAATCATGCAGGCTACAATAAAGAATGCTTCTTGGTACACAAGCTATTTGCAGCATTTTAAGGATAAGGATACCAAGTCATCAAAGTTGAATGTAACATTCGTTGACCTAGGCAAAGGTAGGGTTCACTTGAAAGTTTGTTCAATGGGCAGGTATAATTTTCAAGTTTGCATATTTTATCTTACGCCAAGATGTCTTTAGATGAAATTGGATACCCTGCATTCATCATGATTTTCAATAACATATATGGTAAAATTGCTGAAAGACCCACCCCCTCCTAAATTATTGAAAACTATCACTGTATTGACAATAATATCTGTGTGTAAACTAAATACACCCATTCAGGCTAACGCCCTCAATGTGTATTTAATACATAGACAGATAATATTTGCATTCTATCTTTTTTTCTTTTCTTGTTTCACTTTTCAAATTGAAGTTTTGGTATATATTGGGGGAACAAATGTTTGAACACTTGATTTAGAAGAAGCATATGGTTTTGATTTATTTACTTCCTTCTATGGGTAAATCTGTCAGAATTTGAAAATGCACAATTCCTAGAAATAGAAAGGAGTAAACTTGATTAATTTACATATTGCACAGCTAAAACTTCTCTCATAGAAATTAATGGGGAATATTTAGATTTAATATGAATAAAAGATGTTTGGTATGCCTAAATGTGACAGTTCCTTTTATGTGTAAATAGGCCAGAATGTAAAAATTGGTAATTCCTAGAAACTGCAAGTAGTGTCTTGATTAATTTTCACAGTTTAAACTCCTCTCAAAGTAACTTAGATGGATATTTAGATATATAAAAGATGTTTGGTATGCCTGAATGAGACAGCAACCAAACAAATTAAAAAATCAAGACATAATTAGAGGTCAAATTAAGGTAAAAAATTCAGTATTGCTTAGAACAACAGATAAATTTCTATACCATATATATGCAAATCTTTTAATCAACCAAAATCGGAAAAAGAAAGTATAATTGTAACAGATACTTTCAAAGATCTGTTTATAGACACCAACAAATAATTTTCCTAACATGCCTGTCTTTAAGAACCCGTGCAACAACTCTTTGAGGGGCACGTAGATGCACAGACTGTTGCAAGGTTAAATTTCTGTGCCTATCCAAAATTCCTCATTTTCTCATGATCATGCATGAAATATTTTCCACTGGATGTTAAGCAACCAACAATCAGGCAATCAAACCAAAAGTAATATGAATAAGTGTAACAGAAACTAGCAAAGATCTGTCAACACTGAAATGACCAAAAACGCTCAACATGCTTTTAAATTATATACCAAAAAACTCAAGTTCTTGATTAATGACTGGTACATGTATACACATATATATCCTGTAAATGGTTGTGTTAAAATACTTTTTAAGATATATATAAAGCCCCTCTCCCCTTTTCCCCTAATAAATGATAAATAAAGCTTCCGTCTGCCTTTATTAAAAATTTAAGCACATAATACAACTTTTTTAAAAGAAAATATTGCAAGAAATTTGAGATGAAATTACTCGTTAATAGTGTGAAACTAAGGTGTATTGCATTGTTTTTACCAGTTATAATTAACATATAACCATGATTAAGTACATCTGGTCACTAATTAACATGACCTAATCAGACAACAAATTAGTCTCAATACTGGCAATAGACTTGTTGCATAGCATTCAGAAAATGGGATTTCATCAGCATTTAGTGTATTTCCTTGACTGAATTTGATTTTGGAAATGTATGATTTGTAAAAATGTCTGGTTTCAAAGAAAACTGGTACCAGCATTATGTTGGACAATTGCATTCTGGGAGTAAATTTTGTGAAAAGGATTTGTGGAAATTTCAAAGTTCTGGTAGGTGCTCAAAACTTTGATTAAGTAAAGTTGATTCTCTGAATTTGATGTATCTTCTTTTGATTGTATAGTTCCATTCATCACCAGCAGTTGTATGATTTATTGATATTCTATTTTAAACCAAACATCTAAGCTTGATATAATCTCTATACCTTATATTGTTTTCTCATGGGTATCAACAGTTTCATTTTCAGTATTAAAGATGACTTAATAAATCTTACTGACTGAAAGTTAAAAATATAAACAGAATATTTTGAATGAAAATTTAATAACAATGAATAATGAGCACAATTTTAGGTTTGCACCATATTGTTTGCCAGCAAAAAAGAGGTACCTTTTCAACCCTATTGGGCTTGCTAGTGCATGATTATAAGGTATACATCTTTTTAAAAAAAAAATTGTTTGATTGATTGTTGTTTAAAACAAATGTCCAGTGGCAGATATGTCATGCAAATTTAGGACAAGATTTAAAAGTTTCTATTACAGTATGTCTCCAGAAAGAGTACAGAGATTATAAAAAGAGTGAATTTATGGCATTTTAAAATCATATTAAAAACTTAAATTTTGATATTTTTATACTTTCAGGAACTGGAGGCTCAGTTACTTCAAGTCAAAGGTAAATTTTAATGATCAATAAAGAAGATTGAGGGGAAGTGTCAATGAGTCAGTATCAGACCCAAAAACATGCAAAAAGCATCAGGATAACCATATGTAGTTTTCCAATTGCTATAATTTTTAATCCCCCACCGTAGGTTGACAAGGGCATTAAATGTTACCCTTGACTGTCCGTCCTTCCATCTATCCGTCCTTCTGTCTTTCTGTCTGTCCCATTTTCATTTGTTTGAAGCTTGAGCCTGGGAATTTGTGTCCTCAGACACATTCTTCTTTTATTATTTTCTTAGTCTTAATTATTTAATTTTTTTATGATACCATTTTCTGCTTGATCTTTATATGTTTCCACTTTTGTCACAAAGAGAGCATTTGTTTCAGCCATATTTTTTGCAAGTTTTCTCAGTTTTTCCTGTTGTCTGTCAGTGGTTCTTTATCATGCATTATTGTATGCATATGCCTCCACCAAAAAGACTGGCCGACATGATATAGCAAAAGTAACTGTAAGTGGCGTTAAACACCAACCAATAAAGAAAATTATTTTTGTCAGCTATGACTCCTCGAGTAAATTTAACCCTATAAGAATCATGCAGGCATTGTTGTATCATCTTGCATAACAAGAAAAGTAACAAGAGATTAAGAAAGTATACTAATTCAACCATTAACATGACAACATGACATAACTGTAGTTATGTTCTTTACCTACACGAAGATTGTTAGAATTAAACAGATTCCATGACTACATGTATACATGTAATCAATGACATTGTTTGAATTAAAAACCAACACGCTCCTAGTGACTGAGGCTTTTTAAAGCAGTGTCTGGGTAAATTTTATGGTGAACATTATTTTCTTAAATTGGGATGTTTTTAACTTATCTCTTTTGAACTTTTTGATATTGATTCTAGGCCTTTTATAGCTAATTGAACTGTATGTTCATTGTTGAAGGCAATATAAAAACTTGTTATTGAAGTTCTTTGGTTTTTATGACCCCGTCGTATCGAAGGGGGCATTAAGTTTTTATACTTGTCCCTCTGTACATCTGTCTGTCCATATGTCCTGAAATTGGTTTCCGTTCTTCAACTTTAGTTTGCCTCAACCAAATGTTATGAAACTTATACACAATGCTTATTACCACAAAACACAGATTCACTTTTACCTATTTAGAGTTATGCCCCTTTACAAAAATGGAAAATTGCTGAATTTTTCATTTCCGTTCTATAATTTAAGTTTACCACAACCAAATGTTATGAATCTTATACACAATGCCTATTACCACAAAACACAGATCAAGTTTGAATTTAGGTGGCGTCGCTTTTACTGTTCTAGAGTTATGCCCCCTTATAAATGGAAAAATTGCTGAATTTTTCGTTTACGTTCTCTCACTAAAGTTTGCCTCAACCAAATATTTTGAAACTTATACACCACAAAACTCAGATCAAGTATGAATTTGAGTAGCGTCACTTTTTCCGTTCTTGAGTTACTCATTTATAACGTTATATGAAAGCGGGGGCATCATCTGTGTCCCAAGGACATATTCCCCATTTATCAATGGATAATTGTCTCAATTGCAATCATACCACATTTCACTATTTTTATATAGATTCCTGTATGTATATCTTATCTCTGAAACCAAAAAATATGCCAGGCTTGACAGGAAATGTGTGTTTTTTTCAATGGAGCTTTTTTGTTTGTGCTCATCTACTGTTCAATATGGCCACCAAAAAATTTTTTTCTTAAAGGCAGCCATGCACCTCATGGGTGTAGAACTTTTTTTTATATATTGTGATCTAGTTGATTCAAAAAACAATTTACATTGATATTGTGATGAGTCATACCATATCAATATACTGCAAAAGCAAACACACCTTGCAAGAAGATAAAAAAACTTCAATGACATACATCACTGTCAATCTAAAACAAACCAATACTTTTCCTACATTAAGCTGAGAAACACCAGTTAAAACAGCTGAGATTTTTACCTTAGCTTTGACTATCACACCCACTTGATATAATCATGTGGGTACATGTAAGTTTATTTTCGTCGATACCAATTTTTAGTGGATTGAGGAAAAACAAATTTGTGGATATTTAGTTTTGAGGGTTTGCCAAAGTCTGTATACAATTCTTTCTAGACTGAATAATCTATCCCTTGTGTGATTATATTTGTCATTTCATATTTCCTTTTTATCATTTGGATTTTTTTTTTTGTCCACATGGACAAAAAAAAAAAAAAAAAAATCCAAATAATAAAAAGGAAATATGAAATGACAAATATAAACACACAAGAGACAGATTATTCAGCCTAAATTCTTCAGAAAATGTGTATTTCATGGATCATTTAAAATTGTGGTTAACCAATTTGCACCAAATCCACAAATAATGATAAGTTCATCCACAGTAACACAAAAATTAGATTTTTTTCTGTTATTGCACTTAATTAAACGATGACTTTGCAAACTTTATTGTATGTTCCTCATTAGAAAAAAAAAAGTTAAAAGTTCATGTAGTATCTGCACTTAAAGTTCCACAAGTGCAGAGTCAAAAACATACATGGTATTGCAATCATGCAACATTTTGTGCAGTCAGTTTGTCGAGACTGCATTTATCTTTATGATGAAGAGCCATTGATACAATGTAGTATATGTATAAAGCCTTCTTTATGATGCCAGCTATGTTTCAGTGTAGTACTTAATCATAATTTTAAAAAGTGTGGATTCATTATTACTAATGAGATTCAATTTTTTCAGGATTCTAAGCATATAGGTGAAGCATTAATTTTAAAACTCTTTCCAATTTCCAATAGGCTTCTATGCTGAAATATGTAAAAAAAAAAAAAAAAAAAAAAAAAATATCCACAATTATTCAGTTTTTCTTCAATCAATGAAATTTGGTAAAGACTGAAAAACATCTATCCACAGTTATGACATTATATAGTGTAAATCAAGAAAGTATTTTAGCATCATAGGCTCTTTGTCTGAAATTCAAAGTTTGTAACCAAAATCTTTTGTTTTTAGAAATAGCTTAAGGATTGAAATTTAAAGAGATAACTTTCTGTCAGTATTGCTGATAGGATTTAGAGGGGCACTAGCTTCCAGATTCATTCCCCCCCCCCCCCCCCCCCCCCCCCAAATGGTCTCAAACTTTCAAATTGGAGTTATGATATAGTCAAGGCTTATTTGAGAATTACAAAACTTCCAAATCATTAATAATATTCAATATTTACTACTATGATTTTATTTATTTTTGTGGGTACCAATTTTCATGGTATAAGGAAAACTTGCATTTTTGTGTATATTTTCCAAAGTCTGCATATATTCCTTTAGAACAATTATAATTCGTTGAACATTTGAATTTGTTCTTCCTCTGTACCGTCGATTCCACGAAAATTAGTATCCAACGAATAATAACTAATCCACAGTATATATAGTTATATATAGCTCAGGACACATCTATCTGTCCTTGTGTGTTACAAACATTACATTTATTTTACAGTGGTGTTCTAGAGAATGGATTTGATGAAGGTGCATTCAGAGAGACAGATAAAAATGAAGAGGTAAGGATAATGTAGAGACTTTGAACACCAAATCAAAGTATATTGAGGCGCTTTTTTTTAGCTCTTTCAACATAGAAAACATGATTAAGACTTTCCATAACCATGCACAGTGGTTTATTACTTTTTATACGCCCGTTTACGGGACGTATTATGGTATACCACTGTCCGTCGTCAACATGTCGGAGATTAACTCAAAAATGCTTTAACCAATTTGCATAAAACTTTGGTGAATTGTTTATATCTATTTACATGAGCTCCCTTTTTTTTTCATAAAATTTAGATTTTACGTATCCGAGTTGTGGGGTTTTATTCATTAAAAAAAGGGGGATTTTCCAGTTTTCGGACAATAAGTCAAGAATGCTTTCACCAACTTGCAAGAAATTGTGGTGAATTGTTTAGGTCTATTGACATGAGCTCCCTTTCCATTTTTATAAATTTTAGATTTTACGCTCCAAGTTACAGGGTTTTATTCATAAAAAAGGGGGGATTTTCCAGTTTTTGGACAAAAACTCGAAAATGCTTTCAGCAATTCTTATGAAACTTGAGTGAATTGTTTGTATGTATTGATGTAAGCTCCCTTTAGAATTTTATAAATTTTACATTTTACATTTCTGGGTTATGGGGTTTTATTCATTAAAAAAAGGGGTGATTTTCCAGTTTTTGGACAATAACTCAAAAATGCTGTCACCAATTCTCATGAAACTTTGGTGAATTGTTTATATCTATTGATGTATGCTCCCTTTTTATAGAACCGCAAAAAAAATTTTGGGATCGTATAATGGTATGATGTCGTCGTCTGTGTCGTCGTCCGAAGACACATTTGGTTTCCGGATAATTTCTTTTGTTTAAGTGAATGGATCTCTATGAAATTTTTCAAGAAGGTTCAATACCACAAAAGGAGGGTTGGGATTGATTGTGGGGATGGTGGTCCTAACCGTTTAGGAATTAGGGGCCCAAAAGGGGCCCAAAAGAAGTATTTTTCTAGTTTCAGGATAATAACTTGTGTATAAGTATCTTGATTGATCTGAAATTGTACCACAATGTTTAATACCACAAGTAGAAGGTTTGGATTCATTTTGGGGGTTATGGTGCCTACAGTTTAGGAATTAAGGGCCAAAAAGGGCCCAAAACAAGCACTTTTATAGTTTCCAGACAAAAACTTGTGTGTTAGTGTATGGATCTCTCTGACATTGTACCACAAGGTTTTATATCACAAAGGGAAGGCTGGGATTGAGTTAGGGGGTAATTGCTCCAAACGTAGGAATTAGGGGCCAAAAACAAGCATTTTTCTAGTTTCCAGACAATAACTTGTGTTTAAGTGTATGGATCTCTCTGAAATTGTACTACAAGGTTCCATACTACAAAGGAAAGGCTGGGATTGAGTTTGGGGGTAATTGCTCCAAGGGGGAATTCAAAAAGTTTGGGGAGGGGATTTTTTTCCAATTTTTTTAAGGGGTTCATATTTTTTTTTCAAAATTTTTCAAATTTCAAATTTTGAAAAGTTTCAAGAAGAAATCTGCAATTGCATAGTATTTCACAATAGATTTGTAAGATCTTTGACCACATTTATTTTGTGTCAGAAACCTATATTATGTCATAAACTTGATCACAATCCAAATTCAGACAGTATCAAGCTTGAATATTGTGTCCAAATTTACCCCAACTGTTCAGGGTTCGATCTCTGCGGTCGTATCAGGCTGCGCTCAGAGAAGCATTTTATTATTTTCATAAATTTCTAATATGACATTGAGAATTAATTGAACTTTATTTGTTTATAGTCTGACAACATATTTACTAAGTATTGTACAACAGCAAGAAATCTTTAATTGAATATAAATTCAATTCATATAACCAATTTCAAGTTCTTTGACTACATTTATTCAGAAACCTATAATATGTCAAATATTTGATACAATCCAAATTCAGACCTGAATCAAGCTTGAATATTGTGTCCATTTTTGCCCCAACTGTTCAGGGTTGGACCTCTGCGGGCGTATCTAGCTGCGCTCAGCGAAGCAGTTTATTGCCCTATGCTGACTGAGACACATAGTTATATCCATTCTTGTGATTCCATCCATCCATTTCCAAGATGCTTAGACTTTGTGTATCAAGTTTTGATTTTGTGTTTCTATCAAGTTTACACACTTCTTGTACAAACATTCCTAAGCAATTCCACTGGGCATGTAAAACAATAAAGAATGTTTGCAGTTATCTCCCTTGTTGACCTTAGTGCTTCTCTTCTCTTCCATTGATAAATAATGAAAATGCAGTAATGAGGATTTTCTGATTGTGTGGGATACCATAATAAAAATCTACTGATTATATTACTGATTTAATTAAAGCTACATAGTATCATTAGTTGATAATACACAAGTTCCATTCTTTAGATAAGGACTGAAAGAAAAGTTCTAATGTCAGCAAAAAATTTCAATGAATAAGAAACGATATGGTGTATAAATTTGTGACACAATATCCCTCCCTATATGCAATTCACCTAAACAAAAACAAAGGATGAGTTCTTTTATTGTTGTTTATCGTGTGACCTTCAACACAGAGAAAAAATTCACAATTGTCTTGCACAGGTTTGGTGGCAGGATTCTTTGAATTTATGGGGCCTCTGTGACTGAGTGGTCTAAGTAAGTTCATTTACTGTATCACTATCCTGTCAATAATGAGGTTGTGATTTCGAACACCACACATGGCAGGTGCGTTCAACTACAATCTTAATTGACTAGAATTGTCAGTTTTCCTGCAGAAGGTAGTGGTTCTCTCCATGCACTCTGCCTTCCTCCACCAATCAAAATTGACATCCACGATATAGCCATTAGTGCTGAAGGTGGCATTTAACACCTTAATCTTTGCTAGATGTTAATCATGTTTCAACAATATAAAGATGTAGTATGATTGCCTATGAAACAACTATCTACTAGAGACCAAATGATTTAGATGTAAGGCACTTTAGGTCGCTATAAGACCTTCAACAATGAGCAAAACCCATACCGTATAAGAAATGTATTAAGACTGTTCCAAGAATATGCTCATCAGGAAAGGAATAATACAGAGAGGCCGTGGCTTGTAATGAAATATTGCAGAACTTATCTAGTGGTCACCATTGTCACAGAAATGTATTGAGCAGCTCCTGAATTCAATCTTTTTCAAACAGACATTAAGGTTATTGAGAATCAGGTTTTACATAGGTGAAACCTATTCTTTTAGATTTGAATAATTCATATGACTAAGCTTTGATTTCCAATATTATTTTTCTGACTACAGTTTATCGGTCCCTATGGATACCACTGTGTGGGGTATCATACTTAGATGATGATATGGTAATTTTCTATATGTGCTAAACACAAGGCCAAAAATAAAAATCTATTTGTGTCCTCTGTTCCTTTTTTCTGATCCTTGTACTTCAAATTAAATAAAAAAAGGTGAATTTGCTTTATATACTTGAATGGTTAAGTTTTACTATAAAAAAGGTATAGATAGACTTTCTTATCAACTTTCTTTAAAAAAAAAAGTCTTTTATTTTATCAAAATCTTCAGAAAAGTACTGCTATTGAATTATTGTCTTCCTGTACTGTAATTTTCTCATCTAACTTATATTTTACATTATCTATAATTCTGTGTTGATTGTTTATCAAGATAGCGATCGGTTAGCTTAGCAACCTAAACTCTAAAGTTAATTACCAGTCAAGGTATTCAACGATCATCGATTAAAATTTATTTTTTTCTTGATTGTAAGTTGTAGGTTCTTAATAAATGTAAAAAATAGACATGTAGAACTAAGTTTAGTATATATTCATGCATTGGTTCAATAATTTTCATAACTCTATAATAACTAGGAACTCTTTTCGTAGGACTTTAAAGGGTCTTTTTCACAGGTATTCAGTCAACTCACATATATTTTAGTGTGGCCTTACAGAAAGATTTTTTATACGACCGCAAAAATTAAAAATTTTTTGGTCGTATATTGGTATCACGTTGGCGTCGTCGTCGTCAGCGTCGTCCGAAGACAGATGGTTTCCGGATAATAACTTTAGTATAAGTAAATAGAAATCAATAAAATTTTAACACAAGGTTTATAACCACTAAAGGAAGGTTGGGATTGATTTTGGGGGTTATGGTCCCAACTATTTAGGAATTAGGGGCCAAAAAAGGGCCCAAATAAGCATTTTTGTAGTTTCCAGACAATAACTTGTGTTAAAGTGTATGAATCTCTCTGAAATTATACCACAAGTTTCCATACTACAAAGGGATGGTTAGGATTGACTTTGGGGGGTTATGGCTAAAACCATTTAGGAATTAGGGGCAAAAAAAGGGAAAAACAAGGGCTTTTCTGGTTAAAGGACAATTGAGACAATTTAAAAGCAGTGTAAGGGAGGTAATCAAAATCAAAATCCAAATCAATTTAAATAACAATGTTTGATTACCTCCCTTACACTGCTTGTAAATTATGTATTAAGAAATGATGATTGTCTGAGATATTTACCATAACTTGATTGAAAGAATTATTTTTTGGAATAAGGGAAAGGGGGGAGGTGAAAAAAATTGGAGGGGGACAATTTTTCTCATTTCAGATTTCAGAAATTAAAAGAAAATTTCTTCAAATATTTTTTTTTTGGGGTTAATATTCAACAGCATAGTGTATTGCACAAACGCAAAAAAATTGAATATAAATTCAAATCATATAACCAATTTGAAGTTCTTTGACTACAGTTGTTCTGTGTCAGAAACCTATTGTGTGTCAAAAATTTAATTACAATCCAAATTCAGACCTGTATCAAGAATGAATATTGTGTCCATTTTGGCCCCAACTTTTCAGGGTTGGACATCTGTGGTCGTATACAGCTGCACTCAGCGAAGCATTGTATTTTTTTTAGTACTTATTTCATTAAAAATTTAGACAATCCTACTTTTGCAATCCGTAACCTCTGTTCAGCAGTGGAACTGATGAACTAGTTTTAATTATGTTAGCGAATTATGAATAAGTTGATACTTGTGGTCATATAATTCAGTGGGCAGATTGTCTAGAAAAACATAGGGCCATAAGTTCAGTCTGAATTTAAAATTACGGAAAATTCAGAAATTATTGCCAGGTTTTTATTAATACCAATAATGTGATTAGGCGAGTAACGCAATAATAAGAACTTGCATTTTGATATCTTTTATGTATATCTGTATGTAGATTTTCCTGAAATTGCAACAATTAAACTCAAATTTTAGTCCATTCTTCAAAATTCGAAATAATTAATGCATGCAATAATATCTGAATTTACAATTTATGATATTAGAGGAAAAAGGTTCAGAAAATTTTTGTTTATCTTTACAGATCAGTTTCGATCAGATGTCTTCAATTAGGAATAAATTAGAATCAAACCAATCTGATGAAATTATTAGAGAAAGGAAGAAATCAGTCCATGAGGAAATAGCCGATGCCGAAGGTGGGGAATATGAAAACGAACCAGTCAGAAATCCAGACGTGGTACGGGAAAGTGACAAAGATATTGGAGCCGAATTACCAGAAGTTGGATCTGCTCAGAATATATTGCAAAAATTTAAACAGATTGAGACTACAACTAAATCATACAAGAGGGAGTCTACCCCACCTGAGACTAGAGTTGCAGGAAAAGTTGAATATGTAAGCGAACCAAAAAAAGGAATTGAAATTGAACCACAGAAAGTAGAGGGAGGTGTTTTCGAGAATCAACCTGTGATGGAGGAAGGTGTGGTTCACTCATATGATGCCCAAGAAGAGGCCCTACCTGAAAAGGGATATGCAAAAAATATATTGGAAAGGTTTAAACAGATTGGAACTCAATCAGGGGAGTCAAATCAACAGAGACGGGAACTGACACCAGATCGTAACACTAAATATGAATACGTTAGTGAGCCTCGATCTGTCATGGAAAAATACGAAGGAAAAATGGAGTCTGGTATTTTTGAGAGCCAACCCCAAGAGGATCTCCCAGATATTATTCGTTCAGGCATGCAGAGTGAAGAAGCTTTACCTGAAAAAGGAACAGCAAAAAATTTAGCATCCCACTTCAAAGAGATTAGTGATAAAGCAGGAACACCACATGTGTCAGAAAGGAAAAGGGAGTTAACTCCAGATAAAACTGGAAAAGTGGAATATGTCAGTGAACCAAGATCAGTTCTTCCCCAATACGAAGGAAAATCTGAAAGTGGAATTTTTGAGAGTCGTCCTGAAGACAAAGAAGAAATTGTTAAATCTGATATGCAAGTGGAAGAGATTTTGCCAGAAAAGGGCGCAGCCAGAAATATTGCTGCCAAATTTCGTGAAATAGAATCATCTAAGACGCCTTCACCATCTTCTACCCCTAAACCCAGATATAAAGAAGTAACCCCACCAAGGGATGATGTTGATGGTAGAACAGTAGCAGGAGTTCTAGAGAGTACACCAACACAGCGTGGTGATATAGTCAAAGGCTCAGACGGGATGGAATTTAAGGAAGAGGAGCTACCGGAGCGTGGTATGGCTAAAAACCTTGCTAGTAAATTTAAACAGTATGGAAAAATACAAACTTCTCCTGCTACTAGGGGGAAGAAAGAATTTACACCACCTCCAGATAAAGGAGGTGTATTTGAAAATACTCCAACGCCATCTTTACAAGTTGAGGTCAGGCAAGCTGAGAGCGGCATTCTAGAAAGCACTCCAAAACTAAGAGACGATGTCTCTCGAGAAGGTGAAGCATCTGCCGGAGATGTTGAATTCCCAGAAGAAGGCTATGCTAGGAATATGGTTTCTAAATGGAAACAGCTCGAAACGAATAGTGGAAAAAATACGCCATCGCCAAAACACAAAGAATTCACTCCACCAAGAGATTTCCCAATGTCTCCAAAATCCCCCGCTGGTATTAATAGTAGTGTGCAGCCTGGTGACTTACCTGGGCAATATCAGGAGCAAGGAAGGCCAAGTGTGTTTGAAAGTCATCCAACTCATTTATATGGTGTGGCAAGAGAAGGAGAAAGTGATGCCCCTGAGAGTATGCCGGAAAAAGATGCAGCCAAATCTATGGTAGAGAAGTTTAAAGCTATTCAAGAGCAAGCCAAGAAAGCAGGAGCAACTCCTAAACCAGTATCAAGAAAGGTAAGTCAACATTATTGGCAATGAAACAGTAGTATGGGATTTTCTGTAGAAAGTTTATCACATTGTTTAATTAAACATGCAGTTTCTTGATAGAGGTATGAATAGGGAATTTTTTTACAAAATATTTAGATACCACTCAATCATATGTCAGAAGCTTTCTTGATAGAAATCTAAATGTTCTTTGAATGTTTTCGTTCTATTCATAAATGTAATAAACTTTCTATGGTCAATTTAGATTTGTTGTAAATATTGGAAATGCAAACGTTTTTAAGATTTTGTTTATGCAAACAAAAATTTTTAAGTCCTTAATTTAATATCAGTCACAAAATTCTTGTTTTAGATTTAATGTAGTGATGTGTATGTTAATAAAACATGAAAAAACAGAAAAAACAAACAAAAAAATGACTAAGAATATGGTTTCAGTCAAAGGGAAGTAACTGCAGTATTACAATACAGATTTAGAAAAATTGTTGCAAAAAGAAAATTTTAAGAGTTTGCAGTTCAATTTTTTTTATAGATATGATTTTTTAAACGCATGTTTTATGTTGTAGCATGGTAAAGACTCATTATTTTTTGTTGCTGAATTATAACTGAATTCTTTTTCATTTTTTTTTTCTTCAAATTTTCAGGAATAGATTGGAGTTCTTCTATTCAGAAGAGGGAGGTGTGTCTGTCTGTAAATAAATTCCAGATTACTGAATATTTTGTATTTCAGCAGTTTCCTAGAAGTTTTGTTTGTTTACATTTCTCATGACATGATTTCAATATCCTTAATATCCTAAATATCCTAAATATCCCACACCTGAATTGTTGACATATATTTTTTTATTTAAACAGTTGACAATAGACTTAAAACTTCCTTAAACATTTACAAGGTGAAATTAAGTTATGGGACTGAAATGAAAATTAAGTTATGAGACAAAAATGAAAATTAAGGTTGTTTGACATGAATGATATTTTCAAAGTCTGAGGAAAGTTCATGTTACTTTACACATGCATTAAGTTAGGTATTTTTAATGTTTGAAAATTCATTGTTAAAATCTTAGATTTTGAACACCATATGTTGACAAAACATTACAAAAAGAAAGATGAAGATATATTTCAGGGATAACTAAATAGGCAGAGCTTACAGAACACATAGATTTTGGTTGACAGCTGAAAAGATTAGCAGATAAAGTTCAAACTCTTCTTTTTATGTAAATCAGAAAGCCCACTTCCCTATCTTCACCAACCGGTAGTATCAGATGTCCTAATTTCTTTTTAACTACACAGTTTTGTAAAATGTTACACCCAACACCTTTGATTGTTAATTGGAGTAAAAAGTTTAACATTTTAACCCTGGCTTAAGTTGTATGTAGATTTCAACAGGAAATAAGAAGCAAATTAGTCATTTTAATCTTGAGGACTAAGATTTCCTGGTCGTTTTATTACAGTCGGAAACTCTTTGTACAATGGTTTGTTATTTTAGTTTTTATTTTTAAAAACGGTTTACAGATTCTTAAAATATTTATCTTTTTTTTTCTAATGCTACTTAAAATTTTAAGAAATCAAAGTCGTTTTAAAGTTTGATAAAAAAAAGTAATTATCTTTTAATCAGATACAGATGAATATACTAGGATTTTTTTTGTGGTTGAAGCAGACACAATTAAATAGCTACTAAGATTGCTTAATTGCATTAGCTGCTAAAATTAGCTAGTCAAAAGAAAAATATGACTTTGAGCATTCAGTGCATGCAAATTATTTGCTTGTTTTTAACATGCATTGTTTGAATCGTTGGTGCATTATCATGCATTTGGTCAATCATTGGTATTTATAGATGTGTCAGTGTTTGTCGTGTGTACTTGAGTTTTGATTGTCTCCCCTTTACATTACGGCATGCACATTTGTCATTTGTAGGACTCTAGTGACAGCGGTAGTTCTCCTGTTGAGACCAGTACCAAGGTTTGTTACAGAAAAATACTCACTGCGAAAGACTTGTTTATCTTCTAGCATGAGCTTGTCAGAATATGAGTATTACATGACACCTGTTTGATAAGAATTGTCAGTACTGGGGTAATAGGATTTTTTTTTACTTTTCTGTTTGATAAATAAAAATTTGGAAGAGATTATTACAGAAAAAATTGTACAGAAGCTTATGGAGTAGTTTGATCAGACTGAAAATTTTTATAGATGTTGGCGCTGGAAAAAAATTTAGTTTCAAGGATTGTTACTGGGATTTTTTGTACATGTATTAATAAATAAGACACTTTGGAAAATTCAAGCTATTTATAGAAAAACAAATTCTAGCAAATTTTAGGCATAAACTTCAGATTATCGACAAAATAAAAAAAATGGATAGTTTTTGCCAAAGCTAAATAATTTGAATATGCTTCTGAGAATAGGGAATATATATATACAAAGTTAGCTTGCCAGTAAGTACAAAAATACATATTCTGACAGGCTCATCTTATACATTTCAGTTGCCGCCTATGTCACTTAATATTTTAAATCCTCTTCTTAATTTGCTGAACTTCCAGCAAGATGAAACTCAATTTAAAATTCTCAGTTGCTCTAGTCAACACTTTACTAATCTTTCACATTGTTTATGCTTGCATCTTGATACTCTTAGTTCTTAGTTTCATTATCTGTAGACTTCACTCTACTAACTGTAATCATGTTTATACTAACTGTTTAAAAAAGGCAACATTTCTGTTCATAAGTTATGGATAGAAAAAAGTAATCAAAAAAGGGAGATAAATTCAGTGTTCTAAAATGCTTCAAGGGAGATAATTCAAATATTACAGTTTGATGTTGAGGAAAGAAAAAAGGGATAATGTCCTCTTAAAATATACTTTTTGTCATCATATCAGTCTTCTACTTCTTATTTCCTGATATATAAGGCTCTTGGTTTCAGTTTTGAGTGATCTTTTGTTAGAAGGAGATCTGACTTTCATTAAGCTTAAGATGTTGGATTTGTATGTGTTGTATGTTTTCATTGATCATAGCTTTGTTGTTCTTTCTGCAAAGTTTTTGCAATACATGTCAACATTAGTATTTTGCCATTTCTATTCGTATTTTGTTTCAACAAATTTTTGTCATCGAACATATTATGCTTTCTCACATCTTTCGCTGTTTTATAGAAATATACATATATACACTTATTTTCGATAGTTCAATGCATATTCTTGTAAGATTTGTAAAATAGTCAATGTGTGTCAGAAATGTGGTTTAGAACAAAATAGGTTTATTGAATAAAAAGGGTTGTAATTAGATTGTGGATAAAAATTTTGTTCAATAATTTTTATTTTTACAATTTCCATGAAGAAAATTACATTGGTTAAAGAAAAGAGAGTATGTTAGGGAAACACAATTATTTCTTTAGTTGCTATTGTACATTAATGGGGGTCTCTGGGCAGAGTGGTTCATCTTCAGTGTTCACTAGCCTGGTTGTGAGTTTGAATCCTGCTGCTTGTGGCAAGGTGCCATCGACTCCTATCTTAATTTACTAGAAATGCCCGAGTTGGTGGTTCTCTCCAGGTACTTAGCCTTCCTCTGCCAATAAAAACTGGTCACCAAGATGTATAGGCAAGTCAGCTGAAAGTGGTTTTTAACACCAATATTCAATCATATCATCCTTCTATGTTCAATTGAAATCAATTAACTGATACAGAATCAAATAAAATATTTGAAAAGTATATGAGATAAGTGGAATAGAGAATTATTAAAATCAGAAAATGGTAGGCTTTCAATAGGGAAGGAATAATATTCATTTCATTCTTCACGTTTACAAATGTATTTTATACTCTGAAGTATAATAGAAAATTAGTTTCTTTGTCCCTAATTATGAAATTAAATAATGACTTCCTTCCTGAATTTTTCATCAGGGTACTTGTAAATTATTTAAATGTTAATGCCATAAAATTGAGAATGGAAATGGGGAATGTGTCAAAGAGACAACAACCCAACCAAAGAGCAGAAAACAGCCCAAAGCCACAAAAAATGGGTCTTCAACACAGCGAGAAAATCCCGCATCCAGAGGCGGGCTTCAGCTGGTCCCTAGACAAAAATGTGTACCAGTTGATTTCAGGAAAGAAACATGAATCCCTATCTACTTTGGAACTCTTTGATATGATTCCTTAGGGACCAGTCGTTTTCTTGTATTTGGAGGGAAGACAAAAGTAGGACTGTTTTTTTTTCCACAACCCATCCTTAAAGAAATAAATTGAAGTCCTCTTTCTAACATAATTTAAATTTCAAGAGCCCCCTCCCTGGTTCTGCAGATTGCGAAGAAAACGTGGGCTTGTAAACCTAATGATACTGAGCTCAATTTATTGGTTGTTATTAAATATGTAATTACGTGACATCAGGTTCTGCATATAATGAATTATAAATGATATCATTAAAGTAAAAGATTTACATAAGTATTTTTAAGATAGTTGTAACAACTTTATCCAGCAATTTAGTGTGTGGGCGTCAACTTAAGACCTATATAATATTTAAATAAGTTTTAGTTTTGGTAACATTTGCATGAATGAACATAAGGATCAGCCACCCATTAAATACCCTAATTGATTGTAATGTATTCAAAATGGTCTGACTCATTTTAAATGTTTACCCTTAGGGATCCCCGTAACAATAATCAATGTACATTTCAAAACAATTGATTACCAGTGTTTTACAATGACAGGAAATGAATTATACAATTTTGAAACAGACCAGACAATTATGTTATAGAATTCATTTTAAAAATGGGTCTGGCTCAATATGATTCACTTCAAAGTGATTGACATTGTGAGGGAAAATCTCATGATGGATTACTTGGTCTAATTGATTTCCCTTAGAGGTGCCTCTTGTATAGTGATCACATTTCTTTAGCTGTGTAGTTTTATGTCAGAGTCAAAAGAGTTCATTCAAGGAGTTCACAGTGTGTTGTGTTTTTGTGCAGGATGAGTGCCATTCAAAAGCGTGTACAGGTTTGTCTGACCCTTGGTGGACATTTGTCTGAATTTAGTCTGCTTATGACATTTTCAAAACCTTAAATGATTTCATAAATTGAATTTTTTTATTGTTAAAAAATTTAAATTTGAATTTAAAGTTTTGTATGGTAAAGTGAATGAAAACAGATGGGAAATTTACATTAATGTGAAAATATGTAAAAAACCAAAGTAAATATAGAACCTTTTAAAGAAATGTATCATGATATTTTCATAATACATGAATTATGTCATTTTTATACCATAATTAAGTAGTAATAAATGTATATTGCCTTTGACATTTGGACATAAACTGCAAGATAATTGTTAACAATACAAACATTTTATGGACAGCTATCTCTTTGAGAGCTAATTATTTTATTGTTTTATGTGGCCTTGTCAATAAGACACTGGTCAAGAACTAATTAATTATTTATTCACATGTAAATAAAAGTGGGTTAGCTAGGTCCCAATAGGAGATTGAGAAGGTCAGTTGTCATGAAATACATGTATTAATTATGCAAGTATTTACAAGAGAATTATTGAATCAAAAAGAAAGAAAAATGGCCTAATAGAGGATGGGTTGCTTTGTTAATATCATTGGGTTAGGAGGGTCTTTGTATTCAAGTCATATTTTAGTCAACGACAGTGTATACATAGATGATCTATTATGCAAATCAGAGTCCTGTAGGAAGCTTGTGCATACATGTACATCCTTACTGGTACATTGCATCCCGTTGACCTAATGCTTTCATAGACGGTACATTGTTTTTATTGTTATACTTTTTTGAAACCTTGAGAATGCAAAATGTTTTGCAAAAACACATATGGAACTCAATAATCATCTGTTAACGAACCCACAGTTAGACTTATGTAAGAAGATAAAATTCATGAAAGATTAGGTCATTTGTGATGAAGCTTCTCAGCTGTTTCCAGTATTTGTCATCAAACCTTGACCTGTTTATATAAAGCTTTGTTTATATTCAAAACATGAGACAGGATTCCATGAAGGTATTGATTTCACATTTGAATATAATGGAATATTGACAACACGGCTCGAAGTTCATTGTCCTGAGGGTAAATCCTTTATTGCTGAGATATCAGCTGATTCATAATAACAAAGATTAGTTCAGATGTGCAATACTCTGAATCAATAGACATAAGGTTTCCAGCCATCCTTAGATAGATTGATGATTGATTGTGATTAGAATGGGCTTATCTGTAAGGAATAAATTGATCCAAATCTGGATCAGTCATTTAGAGGGGAGGGATAGCGGAAATTATGACCTGCTTTATTTGAGGTTTCCTGTTGTAGGAAACTCGGATCATTTCTAGTATAAATATATGACGTGAAAACCTGGGACGATTTGAAATTTGACATTTTCTGTAGTTTTATTTTAAATCAAAGATTTTGGGGGATAAAGGCATGAAAAAGAAAAACATTGGAAGCAAAAACTGGAAGAGGTTTACATTTGAATAAACAAAAAAGGGGAGGGGGTCCATCCGTGAAATAACAGAAAAATGGTGGATCTTCATTTATGCTACTTAGTTTTCTGATACTGTAGTTACACCATTTTGACATAAAATTCAATCATTATAAATCAGTAAAGTAGGCCAGACATGTGCTCTCTCTTGTTTAATTCTTATTACACATATTTTTTCTAATTTAAATCTGAATGAACTATGTCAGGACTAGACAGACAGACTGTTCATGCATGATATGTCATATCATCTGATTAATCTCAAATGTGAGGTAAATCTGTCTGACAGAATAAACAAAAACAAAAAATATATGGATGGCTGTAGGGACAAATTGAAAAAGCTTTTAATTTTAAGTTCAGGCAATACATATTTATCAAAAATGCCACTTTTGTGACAAAATTTATCATGTCTGAAACTGAAAGATTTGATAATGTTAAAACCTTTGAAAAATGTGAGATTTTTAATCATTACTTCTTTTTGTCAAAAGCAGATGTCCACTGCTACAAAATTGTTCTTGTAATTAACTTTTCTAATGAATACTCAAATCTTTGCAATCAAAACATTTTTTCACAGTTTTAACATGTAAGCTCATTGTCTCTGAAATTTTGGCCACAGGGATTGTCTTAAAACAAATTTATCAAGCCAATTTGGCCAGAATAAAATCCTTTCAATATTATTATTTAAGATAAGTCTCATTGGTGGGCTGTGTCGAGGTTTATTATCTATCAACAGAGGAGGTTAGAAAAACACCACTCCAATAATATTATTCTCTAAGATTAGTCTTATTGATGATGACTTGAGTGTTCAGGTTAATTTCTAATTATACCTAACTTGTTATACATTCTTGTGATAGTTAAAATGCATTCCTCTTTGTGTCCAACCCTTCCCCTTGACTTATCGTGTTTATTTTTGGTCTTCTCTTGTTTCTTTGCCGCCATATAGCCTTTCACGGCTAATTGGGTGGAAACTGTTACCCCTTTAAATACCTATTTTATTTTTGGTTTTCTATTTTGTTTTTTCGCCTCCATATATGTACATGATATACCAGGTATCCTTCTTTGGCTACCTAAGTGAAAATAAAAATCAATCGGACGTATATCCCGGACCTACATTTGTAAGTTTAAGTTAAGTAAAAGCCATATTCTTTTATCTTTTGTCATCAAAAATATTATATAGTTGATGAAATTTAACTTTTTAAAAATGCAGATCATCTTGAAACCTTATATTGAGGGAAATTATCAGAATTTTAAACTGTGCATTGATTTTTCACTTTTGATACTCTCCAAACCTTTAAAAAATTGATTTCATGAAAAAATCTATAAAGTTATTGAAATTTATGAGCTCATGGATTTTTATGAGTGCCTCAACATCTGTGCAGTGCAAACTTTAAACTGATAAAATCTTTTTACAGATAATTCTTTATCTAATATACCTCTGAGAACATTCCTCATCATGGCTACTTTTTTTTTTTTATAGAATATGCAATGTAAAATTATAATTTTCTCACACATTTGTGTCTAAACCAAAATGTCTGTTACTTACTTTACAGAATTATTCGAAATTTCCCATATAAAGCCAAGAGCAAGTGGTACTTTAAACTTTAATGTAGAATTTAATTTCCCATTATATTGATGGTTCAAAGCAATTTTTTACATGTTTTACAAATTAATTTAAATCCATTCAAGAATATATTTAAAATTTTTCTTCATCATTTAACCATTTATACATGCAAATGAGATGCATTAATGGAAAACCACAATCTATTTGCAAAATGATTAAATAACCTTCTTAGAGGATCTAGAATGTCATCATGTGAAGGTTTGAATATATCTCTGATAAGATTATGAGTATTTGATATTGTTGGGTTGTTGTCCAGTTGATCTATATTTCTGGTTATATTTTCGTTATTTTCTTTTCTTACTGAATGGCACAGGAAAGTCTAAATAAATTATAATTTGATTAAAACCTAACTTTTTTTAAGAAATGCATAGCAAGTTTCAGCCCCAACACCAGTTTTAATTTCAAATATTTTATCTGTGAGGATACTTGTTAAGACCCTCTTTCAAACAACATATATCCAGCAAAAACATGAAAAAGGCAGACAGAGCAATGTTTGACCTCTTATTGAATTCCTGTACTGAGTGATGAAAGTTTTGACAACATACATGCAGGTGTTCTACCTGTTCAGGTACAAATCAAATACACACCTGTCTTAATTACACACCTGATACTTTTGTTAGGACAGAGGAATGTAAATCATGGTGGATGACCTTGGTCTATTGCATAAAAGACATTCCTAATTCTTGACTGACAGTTATTTAAAAACAAAAACAAAATTACTTTTTTGATAACCTTCAAAAACTCTGAAAAGGTTTAGTTTCTAGGAGGATCTTGAAATTTAATTTAACGAGGATAGTGATATGAAGGAAACACATGTTATTATTTAAAAAGAGGGCAAAGTTAATGTTTATTTATTAGGGTTTAGAATCTTTTGGGTCACCTCTGAAGCTCTTGCAGTTCAAAACAATAGGCAGTATATATTCCAATCACTTCTCTGCCAAGGATCTTAAATTAAGATACAAACTATGATTTTTTTTTGTAAAGGGGGAGGGGTATCTATCTTCTGTCAGACACTTAGACTAAACTTTTTCAAGCTTATGTATAAAAGAGCCAGTAGTCAAGAGTACTCAATGTGTTGATCTTTAATCAGTAAATGAAAATATTATTTTTAAACCCACTGTAGGTTGCAGAATCCTCTTAAAATTTGATGAGTCAGCAATTAATATAATAACAGATTTAATCCAAAATTCCTTCTAGATTTAAAAGGTTAACTATTTCAAAAGTGCTAAGTGTTAAAAGATAGGATCTATTTTTGGGAGGCGTAAATATTTATGCCATTTAAATATTGATGGTAATGATTTAAATTTGTCACAATTACAAATATGTCTATTCACAATGGCATGAAAATTGATCATAGTGAAATGTAAATTGAAAGAAATGTTTCATTTCATTAAATTGAAACCATTCCCTGACTCCTATGTCAACAAGGTAGAATGTCCATTATAAATCTGGATTGCTCATCAGGTACAAAAATGTACATAACTTTGGTTTATGTGGTAAAACATGACTTCGTAAATTACTTTAGAATGTTTTGATTTCTGAGTGTGTACTGAAAACATCAGACGTTAATCATGAGATAAGCACACCCATTTCATGATTAGTTTTGGGTTACACACACATGTTTTACTGTTGTGTATTTGTTGAAGTGTTTATTACATAAGGAAATTCCAGTGGTAAAATTACCTTTATTGATGTTTATCTTGTCACTTGTGTATAGGTTTCAATTTTCACCAAAGTCTGATATTTAAGATGGCTTCTTCTTATATTGTAGTGTATCTATGGTATATACATGTATTAATAATCATCAACATTCTCCTGTGGTTTTCATTTTCCAAAAGGAGTTTTTGTGTTTTTTGATTGCTGTTTGTTTTACTTGTACCCCTAACCTCTTTTTAGTCATATTGGATTTTTGCTTAGTTGTCAGTTATGTCTAGCAGAGAAAAGATTTTGAATTCAGAATGTTGTTTTCAATCTTGTATACACAGTTTTCAAATATGCTGGATGGTTTACCATTGTTTACTGGTTTGATCTATTCAGTGGAAATTATCACTGCCTATTCTAATCAAAATTTCAGTGTAAAATTATATCATGGTCAAAGGAAAGTTGTGAACAATCAATTATATACACTGATAAAATTAATGGCGTTGTTAATTTATTTTCGACTTATGAATTGGAAAATCCCTATCGTTTGGTATTTTTCCCCTCTCTTTTAATATAACTGAGAACTAAACAAGAATTATCAGCAATTGTTCGAACTTGACTATGAAAGCTCTGTACATCAATCAAATAATAGTGAAGGAGGGGATTGTAAATAAAATTTCTAAAATAACCTCAGCATTTCTATTTATTTCACCCAAAAAGAATTGTTTAATATTTTTTTTTAAATGTGTGAATTATCTCCTCTGTTCTTGAGTGGGTTGCCTCCCCTTGACCACTAACTACAGAGTTTTGCATTGTAGATGTTTGAAAGCAGTACAGAGAGTGTAAGTGTGTCACCCGTGTTATTATTAATAACTTTCTTTTAGTTTTTATAGCTTTTGTTGTATAACTCTTCACATGTAACCATGTTTTTTTGTTTTTAATGAAAGTTCAGAAATACTTGTTCTGGTTTTACATATATATATATATTTGGCATCTTTTTAAATTTTGGCTGACGAAAGTTTGATATATTTACAGTGCAAGCTGAATTAACAAAGCTCTCAGTCCCCCAAAATTGTGCAATTGGCAAGTTAAAGTTTTGATTGAATTATTTGATTATTTCAAACGTGTTTGGGTATCAACCTTAAAAATACATGGATTTATTTATCATGTTTGTATCGCATCATTTCATTTCATTTTCTCTAACTATACATTAGTGTGAATTTGTACAATTTAACCCTGTGAATATGTACAGTTTAGCCCTGTGAATTTGTACAATTTAACCTTGTGAATTTGAACAATTTAACTTTGTGAATTTTTACAATTTAACCTTGTGAATGTACAATTTAACCTAGGAATACTGTATATTTGAACTTTCATTAATTATACTACAGCTCATCTTGATTTTGTCAATTACATCTGCTCACTGTGTACTGACCATGGGCCACATCTATCAACAGAAATTTAACCTAAAATGTCTTTAAAATAGTGATTTCAAAAGCTAACTTGATTTTAATGTACAATAGGGTCATTTCTTTTGGTGAATGAAAAGAAACGGCATGTCCAATTTAAAGGTTAGGCATGGGGGACTTTCTATAACTTGCTAATTTTTTTGATTTCGATATACATGTATATATAATTTTTGCACTTTTTTTTTAATTTCTAAAACTTTTGCCCATATTTTTGACTTTTTATTATTTTTGTCCATTTTATGCCCAGTCCCATGGTTGGCAAGTGGAAAAGGCAAAGTTCACCTGAGTTGTAGAGTATATTCATTAAGTGGAATTTGCATGATATTGTCACAAGATGTCATTGTATTTCAGATATTTCCTCTACTGCTTGAAATACTTACAAAATATTGATCGGACAGAGGGAAATATTGATCATAAAGTGCTGGGAAATCATTAATTTGAGATCATTGAATTTTTCCCTTTTACAACGAAATTCATTCTATCTTCTTGTTAATATCCAATTCAATTGTCTCTTTTCAATGGCTTTTAAAAGATGACAATGACCAATCCAAAGCTCACTTTTGATCAAGACTGTTCAAAAGTGAAAAATTGCTTGATTCTGTAAGGTCATGACAATAGTTTTAATTTTGTTTTTTTAATGGAAAAAAATAAAATACACCCACACTTTCATGTCAGGGATATTGTCTGTTAAATGACAAGTAGAATTATATATCTGACATGTGTATAATGTCTGCATCAGGATATTGCCAAAATTAAAATGAAGCAGACATGTTCATTTCCATATATGTTGAAAAAGAAATTTTCATTGCAATGCAGATTGGTCTACTGGCAGCACTCAATGACTAAATGAATTATTTCATATTAACACTACTACTGGTGTAGATTTTGCCCACATTGTGGGCAGCCCATGTTGTGCCATCTTGAATTTAAGTTTTAAGAAATCATTTGAAAATACTGTATTTAAATTTACAATGAACAGTTGTTCAATTCTCATAATCTTGTAATGAAAGAAAATAAATGACATGTCCAATCTATAGGAAAGGCATATGGGACCTCTGATGTGTATCCATGTTTGTGAAAGAGAAGGGGGGCAAAAATTAGACATACATGAAGTGGGAAATTGAAAAATTCTATATGTATGCCTTAACCATAGATGTAGCATAGTAAATCTGCCTTTAATCCAGAGCCTTCATGAAGTTTTGCCCACTCTTATCCAATTTCAATCATTGACAGCTTTTGAATACAATGTTCTTATATAAAAAAAAACTAAGGCTTAAATTCACTGTTCAGTTTGAGAAGTGGTCCACTTTCGACAGGTAAAAATAACAAATCCACTTTGGCTGTAGAAAGTTCAGTCATAATTTAAATCGTCTATTCACATTGAATTGATGGAATCCATTCCATTGATGTATATTACTTAGGCATGTGCATGATGTATTGTTAAAGGTGAAGGCTGGAGCTATGGCAACAGACCTGTACACAGCAGACCAATAAACCAGCATGAATTGGAGCAGTTGCTTTCTTAGTTATTTCTTTAGTTAAATACAATCATATATTTTAGTTTCTAGCTTCATTTCTGTTGTGTATTTAGAAAAGCATATTTTGTTGTCTTTGCACGTTGCTGGACCCCTTCATTCTGATATAACTGTGGCTTTAACATCAAATGATTCGAAGATTCAAATTTTTACATCAACAGTCAGACAAATTTCGTGTTATTTGGATTGTAAACTGCAGGCTATTTTGTATGAATTTATATCTAAATTTGGAAAAACAAAAGAAAACTGTTTACATGAAATATTGAAGGGGTTTTGCTCAATAAAATTGAAAACAAATATGAAATTATCTCCCCTGTGAAAGAAACAGTCCAGGGGAAGTAATTTCAAATTACATCATTTTTTGATAGAATTTTATCAATATAAATATATAATCTTATTTATAAATTAGTTTTATCATTTTTGTTATTTATTTTGAACATAGAAATGCATATATAAGATTAAAAAGTAGTTAAATTATTGGAAGGTTGTTGAGAACAAATACATCATTTGCATTTTGGTTTGGTAGAATGCTGATAAAGATTATTTTGAAAATTAATTCATTTTCTGCATGGTAGGCTGGTTTTGATACTGCAACTGCAAACAACTCTTAAATTAGATAATAGACCAAATTTAAAAATATAAAACAATATAGAGGAAAAGCATTTAACCTGTTTTTAAGATCTTTTTTGGCAAATATTTGAAACAGCAGTCACATTCAGTGATAAAAAATCTTAAATTGATGAAAAAAATCAACTAAAGAATCAGCAGCAACCATAAGATATTTATATCAAGTTTGCAGTGCAGTATTATCTTATCATATTAAAGTAGATTTTTGAGAGAGAAAAATGTTAATTAATCATGCATGGCTTAAAATGATTTTGCTTGTTTTATTTACTAAATTTTGTTTTTGCACAGCCAAAAAAAGGGTCCTTTGTACCTGTTCAGCTTGAGAAGTGTGCCGCATGCCAGAAAACCGTGTATGCAGTGGAAAAATTGGAAATGAATAAACACATCTACCACAGAGCCTGTTTTAAATGTTCCCATTGTAAATGTGTACTAACGTAAGATAATCTTTATTACCTCCCATTATTTGTATATATTTATCATATTTTATACATGGGGACATAAGTACATTGACTTGACTGTTCCCAGATTTTTATGGGAGACCAGTTTATTGTATGCAATTTGTAGGCTTAATCGCAGAAAGAAGATGGACGACACCACAATTAAATTATACAGAAAAGCATGGTTGCATGGACAATTTCAAATCAAATGTTAATACTAATCCTTGTAGAATGAGAATTTTTTAAAGATTTTTATGTGTTTGTTGCATGTGATGTTTCTCCGTTTGAAAGGAGATATTTTGGTACAAAAATTTATTCAAATGTAAATTATTCAGATTAAATTAAAAACTTCACATTTAATTTAGCAGGAGTAGGTCCCTCATGCCTAAAGGGAAAGTGAGAATTACACAATTTTCCGACAGAGACTCTTTAAGTTACTTTCAAGAAAGACATCTCTTGCTACACAAATCATAGTGTAGCAACACCAATATGAGGTCTCATATATTTCCCAGACACTGTTAATATACAGGGACACATTATTAAACCATTGGCAATACTGTTGTTTTGATAATTCTGTTAGATACACATTTTGGGTTCCACTGCCTCTGTGCGATAACAAAATAGAACACTAAAGTATGGATATTTATGTAAGTTTCACTTAAAAAGTGTTCAAACTTTATCTTACAAAGAAAAAACATTTATCAAGAGACTAAAACTTATTAGTACAAGAAAACTGCACAATTAGATGACACACAAAAATTAAAATTAAAAGTGACTAAACCCTTTCAAATGAATGAATATACAATCTTCCCATCATTTCATGAAATAAGAGTTGTGGTTTTGGGGTAGGTATATATTCTCTAGTGTTGTAAGGGGATAGCCTGCATTTTTGTTTAATTTTAGGAGGGATATGTATGGTAATTAAGGAATAGAGTTTCAAAAGCCATTCCTGAAATACATACGAATGTTTGGAATCGTGAAACTGTGGAGTAAAAGAAATTAACAAAATACAGTTTATGTTGGCTTTAACTTTATCAAAGCTTGATGGATAGAAAGAGAAAATATTATGCATGCATCTTATGAACTTATTAAACTACTCTTCATAAGCTAATAATTATTTAAGATCTTTGTATTTTATCTATTTTTTTTCTAACAGGGCAAAAACGTTCTCAATGAATGAAGGAGTCATATTCTGCACGAATCATTTCAAACAATTATTTGCCAGGAAAGGAAACTATGATGAGGGATTTGGTCGTCAACAGTACAAGAAAAAATGGGTCGCTGGTGAATCCAGTGAGGAACAATAGTGCTTAGTGATAGTTATATTGCTTAATTTGCCTTCATTTTGTTATCATGTGTCATTTGTAAAGGGAGATAACTATGTAATTGAAGTAAGGGAAGTAATTGATATTTATCTTCCTCTCAACTTTTCACCTTCATTAATAATGATAAATGAATACAATTTGTGTTTATATCATCTGTATAAAAACAAGTTATATATATATAGGCTTAAGAATTTAAGCTTTGAAATAAATCATGATTATGTTTTAAAACAAATTTTTTCATGAAATGAAGGTCAAAATTACATAGAAAATATTTCTTTAGTTTTATGTGATTAAACTTTATTAATAGAACCCACCTTTGTAAAAATTTTCATTTTCATAATGAATATCCTCCTTTTTTTCCTTAGTGCTCAAGTAGTTAATTTGTAAACATAAAAAATGCATTTTTTGTCAAATCATGAATTTTAGATACTCGTAACTTAGTTAAGAATAAGTGATCATTTGTGAGTGAGTTTGAGACTTGCTCTAGTCAAGCGAGATTTTTGCCAAGTTTTATATGATAAAAAGCACATGAACAAAATTTTTGTTAAATATGATTTTCTGTTTTGTTTTTGTATGTTTTTATTGTACTGCTATTTTTGAATTGGAAATATTAATGGGAAATAAAGAATATATGTGTATTTATAATACTGATTAAATCAATTTAAGATTATTATGTAATCATGAAATATGAAAAGTATAAAGCCGAGTTTATTATACAAAACAACTACAGCAAATGAAAGTTAAAATTAAATATATGAAATGCATGATATTTTTCTATGCCAGATTACGTAAATGTTTCAACAACAAAAAACATTGATAGTTGATACATGTAGTATGTTATAGCTGTCTTGTTTATAGCTGTAAATCAAAATGAAAAGATATCATTTCTAATTTATCAAATTCTTCTCTTTATTTATTTTCAATTTCTAATTCTTCAAATTTTTAATAATTTTAAACTGCTGATGTGAATTATTTTAAATATGTATTTGATATTCAAACTATAATTATCTGAAATTAAAAATGTCATATTTATAATCCTCTGAACCAAGTTGAGAGGCCAAATATGAAATGAAATATTTGTTGATAAAGGGGAGATAAACCCTGATGATTTTTAGTGCAATTAAAAAAATGTAGATATATGATTTGAGTTTGTGTATTTGTATATTAAAATGACATTTGTAGATATGAGGTTGACTATGCAAAAGCTTAATTATTTATACATAAATGTAGCTTTTTTTTGTAATCTTCGTTTTGTAATTGTATCAAACTTTCCAGTATTAAAAATTATAGAAAAGAAAGTCTTCACATTGAAAAAAAATCTGATTTTTCATATTTTTTTTATTTTTTTATTTTTTTTTTCAAAAATGAAAATACAAAGATCTCATGTTATGGAAATAAACAGTATGTACATTTTTGTCAAGCATTCAGTTCCATTTTTGGGTGATATCTTCATATGTTCAGCATGTTTGAAATTAAAGAAAATGTAGCAAGGGATATTAAGTCTTGCATACACTGTTGAAACATTAAGATCATTCATTGGTTTAGTTACTTTTTTTATTAAACAGAAAAGTATGCTTTATAAAATCAAAGATGAAGGTACTCAGGTTTTTGTACTCTTATATAGCTGCTCTCTGATTAAAAATCCCTGCCACAGAAGAGAAGGATAGAGTTAAATGTGACCCTTGCTTACAAGATTTTGAAATGTTTTTCCTTAAGGTGGTACCCAACACCAGACTAATATTAATTTGGCTCGTTTAATTTTCATAAAATTTTGACCAAATGTTTATTTTGACCCTTTGACAAAAATATAAAAATTTCAAAAAATTTGAACCAACCACTTTATCAGAAAAATTTCATTGGTTATATAGCAGTTTGACAAACACCAATTTTGATCATTGAGAAGCTTAATATTTCCTTAACAATACAATGTAATTAAAACGTTTAGCTGATTTTTACAGAGTTATCTCCCTGTAGTGTTGGGTACCACCTTAAATAAATTATGTATGAGTAAGTCTATTCATTAAAAGGGGGACTATGTATGGTTAAAATCATGTTTTGAAGTATTGATATTTTTATATTTACTTCATAATAAATATGTTGGTATTTTATTTATATATAAAACTCGATAAAACATAAGATGCATAATCGTACTTACTCAATAATCCATTCCCTTAGTGCTTACAACTTATCCTAAATAATAAGATCAACTGTTACCATGGTTACCATAGACTTGCTAGAAATATATATTTTATTAAATTTGGTAATTTCAAAACTGAAGCTTGTTCACCAAAATTATCTGAATTTGTGAAAGAGTTGAAAATATTGAAAGACTTATTGTTGTTGCATCATGTCTCAAAATACAACACGGTGCTTTATGCATGTAAACAGTTGTCTTGGCAATAAATTTATTAAAAATCATATGCCTTGATTTTATTTATGTTTGATATACTACTGAAACCAAGCTTATGTAACATAATAGAGCCGAAAGATACTTATGGGACATTCAAACTCATAAGTCGAATATAAACTGACAATGCCATGGCAAAAAGAGGAAAAAAACCAAAAGGCAAACAACAAATAAAATTGAGAATGGAAATGGGGAATGTGTCAAAGAGACAACAACCCGACCAAAGAGCAGAAAACAGCCCAAGGCATACAAAACACAACATAGAAAACTAAAGACTGAGCAACATGAACCCTACCAAAAACTGGGGGTGATCTCAGGTGCTCCAGAAGGGAAAGCAGATCCTGCTCAACATGTGGCACCTGTCATGTTGCTCATGTAAGTACAAACCCGCTGAAAAGTCTTATTCTGTAGGTCACATTCGGGGAAAGTGGACTGGATTGTAATTAAGACAATTAGAAGATATCTGTTGTTATCTGTGAACCAAATGTCCCATAACAGTTGACCAACTTATGATGGTGTCTGTAAATTTTAAATGTACAAAAAAATTTGAGAGAATATCTAGAAAGTTGGATTGGAGTTTAGGCCTGCTCAGTTACTCTGGAGACCACACTACCTCACTCCATATAAAGTACATTTGGATTTCCTAGATGACAAAACATTCTTATAGACTAATTATGAAATGTCACATTTTGTGTATTTCAGAATGGGAAACATAGGGATTACTATCTGGTGGCTGGGTATATTTTATTTCTAAAGTTATAAGCCTTCATGCTTCATACCTTGTAATTCTACAAAGTTTCCATCTGTCATATGTCCATTGTCCTTGACCCCATTTTTATAGTTCATCGACTGCTTGAAAAATTTGTATAGTTTCCTTGTAGTGAATTTTTTTTATGCCCCCACCGTACCTTGAGGGGGAGGGGGGCATTAAGTTTTACCCTTGTCAGTACATCCCAAAATTGGTTTCCGTTCTCTAACTTTAGTTTGCCTCAACCAAATGTTATGAAACTTATTCACAATGCTTATTACCACAAAACACAGATCAATATTGATTTTGGGTGGCATCACTTATACTGTTCTAGAGTAATGCCCGTTTACAAATGGAAAAATTGCTGAATTTTTTGTTTCAATTCTCTCACTTTAGCTTGCCTCAACCAAATGTTATGAATCTTATATACACAATGCTTATTACCACAAAACTCAGATCAAGTACAAATTTGGGTAGCGTCACTTTTACTGTTCTTGAGTTATGTCCCTTTATAACACTATATGCAAGCGGGGGCATCATCTATGTCCCATGGGCACATTCCTCATTTATTTTATGAGTAATGGGATAACTATATTTGGTATATGGTTAACATGTCTGTCAGACAGGGTACACCTGACCAAGACCTTAATTCATAGATCAGTGATCAAGATTAAGTTTTTGTGGCAAGTCCATATCTCAGATACTATAAGCAATAGGTCAACTACTACACTCAACTGACTGATTATTCTGCCACTTGTCATGTCTCGTTTGCTAGTAGTTCTGTCCTAAATAGGACCACCTCAAGTAAATGGAGGAGGTTACGAATTAAAAATATTCTATTTGCAGTTTCTAATTACGAATGTCAATTATGATTTTTGGGGAAAATATTTTACAGAGGGACTTGGTGGCTGCCCTTAATCTCTTTCTCTTGCAACTATGCAAAGCATAACAAAAATACCAAACACATCAAACGAATGGATAACAACTGTCATACTCCAGACTTGGTACAGGCATTTTCTTATGTAGAAAATGGTGGTTTAAACCTGGTTTCAAAAGCACAATCCAACAAACAAGGTGTTCAAGACGGTTTAACTTCCGAGTACAGCAACGGTAACAATCACAACCACAAACTATAGCACTTGGGTTCAATATACATAATGCATCTATTCTTACGTATATGCGGATCCAGGATTTTTAAAAGGAGGGAGGGCAAACTAAGCGATGTTTGGAATGGGACATGTAAAAAATCTGTGAATTAACCATGTATGAAGCTCTCTACGGATTTCCATTCCAGTATGGATTATGGATGATATTATGACATTTCCCTTATGTTAGTCCTATATAGGGGAACCTGCATAGTAGCGTTCAGTACGAGCGGAATATTTGGAATAAGCCTTTGATTTTGCATCTATATTGATGAGACCATATGTGATTTTAAAACATCATACACACTCTTGTTGTTGATGTTCTCTTTTCTATTTGTGACCACTCTTAATTGTTTAGTCATGGTGTCTACTGATAATGTACTACGGTATTTGTGCATGACAAACCTACCATCTCAATTTTGTCCTTATTATTTGTTTATGGGGGTCCAATACTGCACTTGCATATGCTAGTATTGGTCTTACTAATGTCTTATATGACACTTATACAGATGGACGATATAGGAACAGGGAAACTTCTTTTTTTTTTATTATGGGGTCAACAGGTAAAGGTTAAGGTCACTGTTACTCAAGTAGAAAATAAAATGGAAAATTGGTTTCCTGATTGTGGATTGAGTTTTCTTTGGTATGATTCTAACGAAACGAATACAGATTGGAAGATATAGGAGAAGGGGAAGAAGCCTATTGATCTTAGGGTAAAAAAATTCAATGTGACTGTTACTAAACATTGTTTGTACGAACAACGGCACATATGTTTTCTGATATAACGGCATCATTTGGAGCTGTTATTTAACATTTCTTTTCATCGACTTTCTGTCACAGGTATTGATGGTTGGTGAAGTAGCCATTTTTATACGACCGCAAACATTTTTTTGAGGTTCGTATAGTGCTATAATGTCGTCGTCGTTGTCGTCTGCGTCTGCGTCGTCGTCGTCCGAAGACACATTTGGTTTCCGGACCATTACTTTAGTTTAAGTGAATGGATTTCTATGAAATTTTACAAGAAGGTTTAATACCACAAAAGAAAAGTTGTGATTGAATTTGGGGTTATGGTACCAACAGTTTAGGAATTAGGGGCCAAAAACAAGCATTTTTGTAGTTTCTGGACAATAACTTGTGTTTAAGTGTATGGATCTCTCTAAAATTGTACTACAAGGTTCTATTCTATAAAGGGAAGATTGGGATTGAGTTTGGGTAATTGCTCCAAAGGGGGGATTCAAAAAGTTTTTTTTTATTAGTGCAGTATTGGACCCCCATCAACAAATAATAAGAAAAAAATTGAGATGGTACAACACAGAGGGCTAGCTAGGTTTGTCATGCACAAATACCGTAGTACATTATCAGTAGACACCATGACTAAACAATTAAGAGTGGTCACAAATAGAAAAGAGAACATCAACAACAAGAGTGTGTATGATGTTTTAAAATCACATATGGTCTCATCAATATAGATGCAAAATCAAAGGCTTATTCCAAATACTCCGCTCGTACTGAACGCTACTATGCAGGTTCCCCTATTGGGGGGATTTACTTTTCCCAATTTTTTTAAGGGTGTTTATATTTTTTTTTCAAAATTTTTCAAATTTCAAAATTTTTGTATAGTTTTTAAGAAGAAATCTTCAAATGCAAAGTATTGTGCAATAGATTTTTAAGAATTTTGACCACATTTATTTTGTGTCAGAAACCTATATTACGTAAAAAATTTGATCACAATCCAAATTCAGATAGTATCAAGCTTGAATAGTGTGTCCAAATTTGCCCCAACTGTTTAGGGTTCGACCTCTGCTGTCGTATCAGGCTGCGCTCAACGAAGCATTTTATTATTCCTAAAAGGGGACGAACATTTGGTATTCGGATTGGGGAGGGGTGTGCAGAGTGTTTTTCTTTTGTTGATTGATCACTCAATTTTATCTTTTGCTACGCATGCTTTTTTTTCAAAATCTAAATGACCCTTCCCCTTCTTTCCGTATACCCTAAAATAGTCTGCCGGCAAGATTGTTTAACGGAAATGATTTTTTTTTTCAATATGGGTGTTTTTGTATGTAAATGAAAATAGTGAATGTTCAATATAAAGCAAATTTTGTAATCATAGAAGAGCCAGATTATTCAAAAGTTTGTAGATTGCAAGTGCTACTTCTATTGTCCTAATGCTAATCACGTGTATGCTTTGACAAGAAGAGCTTTATAGGAGGATATATGCAGCCTCAAGTTCTTTCTTGTATTTTTTTAGAAACTGTCTCTGTACAACAATGCCAAATCAAAGGACAAAAGTTAGATTTACTCACGATATGAAAGTAATTGTAACTTTGTTTACTAGCTGAAATAAGGCATCGAGAAAACTTAAAACTGTTCCGATGCCAGTCTACACATGTTCTTTAAATAAGTGCATCAAATTTAAGTTGGTAATCTACATCAACTCCAATTAATGAAGTTGACAGTTTTTTTTCTCAAGATTTAGCCCGGACAGGCAATTTATCAGGATTTGTTTCCGTGTATCTTATTTTGATTATTAAACCAGCATAAGCGATCGAATCAGTTTGTAATGAAGATATGAGGTTGCCGAAAATCACTGAGGACTACAGAATCATGTGATAGGGTTATAATAATACCGGTATAATTATACGGCACAGTCTGTATCACAAAATAAAATATGTGATTTTTGAAGACTTTGCAATTAAAAGGGTCCCGTAAATAAAATAAAATCACAATTTCAACATATTTATTCTGAACAGTACACAAGACCAAAACGATTTCTTTGTAACTCTATAATCTTCTACATTTAATAATGCTATTTATGATTAATGGACCAAACAGATATATGCGACAATAACATCGTATCGGTACATTTTAAGCAAATTTAAATATCCCCTCCATATATATTAACTACCAAGCATACTATAAAGGTAACACACGTATTTTCTAGTGATCTTTTTTATGTAAATATGGACAGGCCAACATGTACGTGTGTCTAAATAAACAATTTCGTTTCTGTTATGAGAATATGACGGATTGTCTTTAAACTGTTTCTTTTGTGATTGAGTGAGGATATAAATTATAGTACATAATGGTTTTCTCGTTTGCCTTTTTTTTTTACATTTAG